TCTGAGCAAAGTGCCATTTGGGGATTCATCCCCAGGGTATGAAGACGCACTTATAAAAATACATTCCAGTGGGCTGTAATAGGCTTAACTGGTTCTAGTGAAATTAGCAAACAGCAATACCACTGTAATCAACATTAGGTGGCTTAGAATCTGTTTTAACTCCTTAGAACAGGGATCAGGGAACTTTTTTACCTTCCCCCCCCCCAAAAAAAAAATATATACGCCGACATTACCCCCTTGATTTGAAAGGAAATCGTACATTGTTTGAATTCAAAATTTTATTGAATCTATTCAAAATTACTTTGAAAGCTTCAACTTACGATGTTGCTTCATCTTGGATATGAGAGCATCAATATTAGGGCTCTTCTCATCCTCCCAGCAATACCACTGTAATCAACATTAGGTGACTTAGAATCTGTTTTAACTCCTTAGAAGGTCCCCAAAATATATATCTCTGGTGAATTGTGGGGAAATAAAATGTCACCCTCGTTCAATTCTCCACAGTATTGTTCTCAGGGGCACTGTGAGGATCCAAAAGATGGGGGCTTTAAAACATCTAGAATAATGAGCCCAAGACAGCAGGATCAGATCCAAGAGTTAGGAGTTTAGAGATGTGCTGATCCCAAGACTGTTTTAGAATGTTTTGCCTTTATTTCCCTATAGAATATGAACATTGTATAGTTAAAAAGGAGCACTCAGTCTTTTTGGCTTCAAGGGCAACATAAGATGCTGAGCTGCAAATTGAGGGAAGAGTAATGCCTCTACAGATTCTTTGTGTTCCATCTGGCATTTGTGGGATTTAAATGTTTTTAATCAAAGATGCCCAGCAATCTGAACTAAGGAAGTAAAAATTGAAAAAAAACACACAGAGCTGCTGGCGACAAAGGCAAATAACTGATCCCAAACAATAAAGTCAAAGATCTCCCCTGGATATTCCAACCACTCAGACTGAGGTGTAGGGTTAAATGAAAGACCTGCATCATTGCAAGCTAGGATTCGCATTCTGGGACCTTCGTGGCTGAGTGGTTAAACTGCAGTACGATAGCCAAACTCTGCTCACGACCTGGGGTTCAGTCCCAGGTGGCTGGGTCACTCAGCCTTCCATCCCTCCCAGGTTGGTAAAATGAATACCCAGTTCACTCGGGGGCAATGTGTAGCCTGCATAATTAACTTGTAATCTGCCCAGAGAATGCTTTAAGCACTATGGGGTGGTATAAAGTATAAGCAGCATGCTTTGCTACAGTTTTATTTTTTCTTTCTAATTTATTTTAAGAAGCAGTTCATTTTTAGGGCCAAGTGTGAGATTGTTGAACAATGCCTGTGTTTCTCTTGTATGGTCTTTGAGTGGAAAGGTCAGAATTGGTGTACTATGATCTCCCTTCGCTCTTCCCAGTCTCTGGTTTTTCTTCCTTGTAATTGTGCAAATCCCACTGGCTGCTGGCCTTTCTGTAATTGCTAGATGGATGCCCACAGGCAGATGTAAAATCCCCCTGTAGCCCTCCAGATAATAGCCATTTGGGTTTTTTTTTTTTCATCATTTGCAGGAAAGGGTTTTTTTCACACAGTTCCAGAAACACATAAATACCATCACGTAGCTGGAAAAAGATGAGGGTGGATTGTCACCATATAAGTGCAAAACAGGGACAAAAAACAGATGCACACATCTGCATAACTCAGTGATCTCTTCCTCTTTGAGGAAGCCTTGTTGCCATCCTCTCCCATTCCCCCTGGCCTGGAAAAGGCAATTCATATAGACCTTTCCGGAGGAGAAACTAGGAAGTCACAGGCCATGGACTCCTATGTTTAAATGCTGAGTATTACCAATTGAGCCAGATTAATAATTCATTTGGACCATACCGTGTTTGATATTTTATTTATTGCATGAAAAGCCATGTAATTTAACACCATTTAAATTTTCAATACTGGCAAGAAAAAAAATCACCATTACTGCATGAATGCTATAAAATACAAGGCCTTATAGTGCTTCATCTTGAATCAGCTCTGATGTGACTGCACATGTAATCAGATGCATTAAGCATCCATGGTGAAATAACTTTATTTAGCCATACTGTATCCACTGGACTAGTTTTGAGTAGGACGCTTGAACTCCAAGCTGCGGTCAAGATCCTACATTCCCAGGTGCTTTTATCCTGTGATCCCACATTCCCAGGTGCTTTTGTCTAAGATCCTGTGAAACCATTCCAAAAACCAAATGACTGTATGAATTCTGTCTACACTCACCTGAATATTAGCTGAATAAATATACAGTAAGATAGTTATTGGAAATCAGAGATCTAAATCATTCCACTCCACTAGAAATTATCACTAGTCATTACAAAACCATGACCTTCCCTCTTCTTTAACTCTTTTCACTCTAAAGAAGAAGTTTTTAATGCTGCTGAAACCCACAATTAGTTGAAGGCAATTTCTAAACGGGTCCATATCTCCCATTAATAGTGTGCTGTATTAGGATCCCCTGTGCTATCTGTCTGCACCAGAACTGCCTGTAACAGTTAATTAATGGGTCAGTATTAATATATTGTTATGGAACATAGGTCAGAGGTGCATAATCTGTAGCACCTTGTGACTACAGAACTGCTATCTCATCCAACCTCACAAAATTGCTCTGCTGCTGCAATTTTCAAGCTGTATCTGGAAATCTAGGGAGGGGTGGGGAGAAATGCTTCCTTTCCCTCAAAGGATGCCAAAGATCCTTATTCTTTTCCAGCAAGAAAAGAGAGATCTGTATGAGAGTCTCTGGAAGGGAGGAATAATAGCCTCCTTTTCTTCCCCTCTATCCGATATCCCCACAGATTTCACTCCTTTCATATTGGTGGAAGAAATAGAAATATGTTTCACCACTCCTTCTCAGGAAGGAAAGAGAAATTCATGGAGGACAACACTTGAGCCTTGTAGGGCTCCTGGGGCCAAAAAAGGCTACATGCTCCAACTGGTGGGCATGCTCTTAACTAAACTTGTGATGAATTGGTTTTGTTAAATGTGGCCTTTCTGCAATTATAAACAAGTTTATGTTAAAGTACACATAACAAATTGAAAATAAAACAACACTGAACAGCAAAATAAATTCATATCAAACCGCTATAAACTATAATGAGCTGGGGAAAGGTGGATGGAATGCAGTTCTGCTTTACTGCTCCTTCTGTATAATCCAGACTAGCTCTGCCATCTGGCTTATACTGAAGACACATGAAAACACCATGCAGTAGGAAAGCACCTCACTACCAAGAAAATGGAGAAATAGTATTTAGTAACAGTTCCATTTATAAATGTATTGTCAAAGAAAATAGTCTAGTTCAATAGTATCACTCCAACTTCTGTTCCTTTGGCACATGTTCTTGCAGATTATCCAAGGCAATAGCATGGCAATTAAACATTGATATATTAGCGGTAAATTACTTGTAATCTTTCCTAAAAGTTCACCAAATATCTGTAACAAAGGTGTAACTGCTTACCACAGAGCATTACAGGTTAAATCCAATACTGCCATCTCCTGGAAAATGGAAACAACTCCGCACAATCAGTCAAATATAATAGTCAGTATTTGTTTAATTGAAATATAAATATTTAATGTATGGTGCAATCGTTTATTTAATGTAATATGTTTATTTACTTGAGCTTAACTACACTGGCTTGCAGTTAATTCATCTGAAGGAAGTTCTCAAAGGACAATTTTCCATCCTTTACTCAACCCTGCTACTGATCATTCCCATGAAATGTCTCTCCAGAGGTCTGGGGGCTCTCCTGAACAATTTTGAATATGGAACTGTTATGAGAAAGGACAACTAACCCAAACTGGGTTGACCCCTGTCCAGCTTAGGATAAACTGTTTCTTTCCAGTTTAGGAAATGACCTCCTGAACTGGACCCCAGTTTAGGTCATTTCCCCCTTCTTGATAGGTTTCAAGGCACACAGGCAACTGCAGTAAGGAGTTGACAGGAAATACTGTATTATCCTTTCATAAACCTTACATCAACGTTATCTTAGAAGATCTAAGCCAAGATAAATCTGAAAAAAGTATCCATATTTGCAGGCAGCTTAACTGAACCTTATCAACTGATGAGGTCTTGCTGCTTTTGTTTCCACACTCAAGAGCAAATCAATCTCAAAGATTACAACAGACATAGCCTGCATCAATATATAGCTGTACTGGGAATATGCACTTCTCTTCCTTAACTGAACCTTATCAACTGATGAGGTCTAGCTGCTTTTGTTTCCACACTCGAGCAAATCAATCTCAAAGATTACAACAGGCATAGCCTGCATAAATATATAGCTACTGGGAATATGCACTTCTCTTCTAGCTATGCCCAGAGTGAAGTCTGAAGGAGTGGCAGATGGCACCATAGCCCCTGCTTATCAGAAAGTCCCAGGGGCTTTGAAGGCCTGAGCTCTGACTCAACTCCACCATACCCATAGTCCGCTGGCAGATATATAGATGAAGGCAAACTGAGATCCTTGTCCAATAAAACTTCACTGCCTGATTTTCCAAAATAGCAGCAACAATAATAAACAACTCAAACCTAAACAACACATCCTAAGAAACTGGGGAAACAGTGTACTTATAAATAGGGTGCAAATTACGAGGCAAACTATGAAGCCTAGTGTCGCCAAAGTACTTTGAGAGCAGATCCATTCAAAAAATTCCTTGCTTTTTCTGATGGTTAGCTCTTCATCCATGCCTAAAGCAGAAGTCTGAATTGCTGCATCCCTTCTGTTATTCAGTGTGCCACATTACTTAATCGTCCCGGCCCCTCGGAGGTGTGCAGGCGTGCTATAATCCCTCAGACAAATGAGACACCCAGGGAATTCTGGGAGTTATGGCCTACAAGCAGAAACCTGGACACCTCTAATTGTCATAACCTGATCCAATTTAGGCCTCAGTGTGGGGGCAATTAAAGCCGTTGCGCTGAGAGACGTCGCCTCCCATTCTCACCCGCCCAGCGCCCTCGCCATGGCAGAGCCCTCCGACTCCCCCACCCAATCCCAGCATGCTTTGCGGCTGCGGCCACGTGCCTGCTGGGAACAAAGATGGCGGCGCCCATACTCCGAGCTGGCTGCAGCCGGCTTTTGACAGAAGGGAAGGCGGCTTTCCCCCGACTTTGGGCCGCCGAGAAAACGCGGCAACAACATGACCGCTGCCCGGAGAGCGAGCCCCAGGAGAAGCCGGCGGCCAAGGGCCTTTTGGCCCTTCAGTGCGAGCGGGGTCTGTTCCAGGAGGTGTTCCCTCCTCAGGCAGCGGAGGAGCAGCTCCTCGACCTGCTCCAGCCGGGCCGCCCGCCCGTCACCGTCTATTGCGGCTTCGACCCAACCGCCGACTCGCTTCACGTCGGGCACCTCTTAACGGTCATGGGCTTGCTGCAGTTCCAGCGCGCGGGCCACCACGTGATCGCCCTGGTGGGCGGGGCCACGGCTCGCCTGGGCGACCCCAGCGGGCGCACCAAAGCGCGCCCCCTGCTGCCGGAGGAGCGCGTCCGCCAGCACGCGCGGGCCCTGCGCGAGGCCCTGGAGGGGCTGTTCGAGAACCACCGGCGGCTCTTCTGGCCGCCGAGCAACCCGCGCCTGGGACCGGTCACCTTCCTGGACAACGCCGGCTGGCTGGAGCGGGAGCCCGTGGTGAGCTTCCTCTGCGGGGTCGGCCAGCACCTCCGCATGAGCACGTTGCTGAGCCGGCAGGCGTGCAAGGACCGCCTGAGCAGCCCGGAGGGGATGAGCCTGGCCGAGTTCCTCTACCCGGCCCTCCAGGCCTACGACTTCCTGCACCTCCGCCGGCACCACGGCTGCCTCGTCCAGCTGGGAGGAGCCGACCAGGTCGGGAACATCATGTCCGGACACCAGCTGGTCTCCCGGTAAGGGAGGGAGAAAGGGAAAAAAGGGGGCGGCTCGGGAGGCCAAGCCCCGCCAGGCTCGCAAACTCGCTGGGCCGCCTTCAGCTTCATCTACCTCACAGGGTTGTTGTGAGGATGTGAAGGCGTTGGTTGTTTTGTTTTTTTCTAAAGGAATGTGTGGGTGGGTGCCATTCTGCAGGTGGGTGTTCAAAAGAGGGCTTGAGACCATGGGAGGAAGTGTCAATCCTTCACACTGTTTATTTGTGGCAAGATTTATTTTTTGCTCTTTGTATTTTTTTAAACTAGTGTTTGCAGGTGTAATTTTAATCTGAGAATTGGAAATTTTTTTAAAAAGGGGTTGTAAAGGGGCCCTGTTTCTAAAAGAGAACGTGATGCTGAAAAGGTCTTTCATAGAAGCATGTAGGCTGCTGAGCTTCTACTGATGTATACATCTCTGTTCTGTTGACATGTAATACAACTTTAACACTTGCTTTGTTCAGAGTAACAGGTGATGATGTGTTTGGAATAACCGTGCCTCTTATTACGAGTACTACGGGAGATAAACTTGGAAAATCTGCTGGCAATGCTGTTTGGCTTAACAGAAATAGGACTTCTCCCTTTGAACTATACCAGTTTTTTGTAAGACAACCAGATAAAACTGTGGAAAGGCAAGTATAGCACTTTCTGTGTCGGTGTTCTAGAAACCTACGCTAAGAACAAAATAACACTGTTGTGAGCATAGTATAGTGGTTAGAGAAGACTTTGCCAACTGGTACTCTTTACCTGTTTCATTATTCCTGACCATAGTTATGCAAGCTGGAGATAAGTGGGAATTGCAGTTTCTAGCATTTGGAGAGCATCAGAAAGCTAGGTTAATGTATCAGTTTAGGATTGAGGGGATAAAATTCAAGTCCTTGCTCAGCCCTGAAGCATACACTAAAAAACTTGAGTTGGCACAAGTTTGCTTAAATTCACCTAGGGTGTCTTGAAAGAATTGTGAGAAGTAGGTGAAGGTTTGAAGAAAATGTCAGACTTCCAGTAGAACATATTGGCTGTAATTAACCAGCCAAACACTCCAATAAATTAAAATGTTAGAACAAATTAATGCAGCACTTAAAATGTTTCATAGGTTTTGAATTTGCCAGGAAATAATTCCAAACAATAATGTTTCCTATGTTTTCTATGTAAAGTGTGTTATGCACTTCTTACCTAAGAGTTTCCAGGAATTTCCAAATACTTTGAGATTCTCCTGTGGCTCTTACTAGCTCTGAATTTACTTCACAAAGTATTCTTCCATATGACGTCCTATCGCTGCTTAAGTACTTACTACTAATGCAGCATGTCTTAGATCAGCTTTTGGACAAGACAGAAAAATTTAAAAAAATTGTTGTGTGTTATGCACTTCTTACCTAAGAGTTTCCAGGAATTTCCAAATACTTTGAGATTCTCCTGTGGCTCTTACTAGCTCTGAATTTACTTCACAAAGTATTCTTCCATATGACGTCCTATCGCTGCTTAAGTACTTACTACTAATGCAGCATGTCTTAGATCAGCTTTTGGACAAGACAGAAAAATTTAAAAAAATTGTTTAGTTAATCTTATGCACTTCTTACCTAAGAGTTTCCAGGGATTTCCAAATGCTTTGAGATTCTCCTGTGGCTCTAACTAGCTCTGAATTTACTTAACAAAGTATTCTTCCATATGATGTAATATTGCTGCTTAAGTACTTGCTGCTAATGCAGCATGTCTTAGATCAGCTTTTGGACAAGACAGAAAAATTTAAAAAAATTGTTTAGTTAATCCCTTTCACAAATTTGGATTAGTTAAATTTTCTAAAATGTACCTAACATAAAACAAGAGATACTGAGGACTGCAAACAAGTGTAAGTGTCTCCCATTATGAGCCTGCTCAAGAGTTAAAATAATCAGGAGAGACCTTTCTCTTGGTACTGCCACCTTCAGGAGTGTGTCTGATGGGGACACGGGAGAGAGCCTTCTCTGTTGCTGCTCCCACACATTGGAGCTCCCTCCCGCAGGAGGCCAGGCTGGCTCCATCTTTGCTGTCCTTCCGCAAGCAGGCAAAGACCTTTCTCCTCAGGCTATCTTTCCCTCAATTACTGACTACATGAGTGTGTCTTTTAGATGGATTGCTATGCATTACTGCTCTGATTGGTTGTTTAGTGCTGCTTGTGTTTACCATCTCTCAGATTACTATTTGTTCTGTTTAAATAATTGTATAATTATTGTTTTAGTTTTAATATTTTAAGCTGCCTTTTTATGCATATTGTTCTTAGCTTTGAATATTGTCTTTTAATGAAATAAGCTGCCTTGGGTCCTTTTGAAGGAAAAAAGCAGGCTAAAAATATTTTAAATAAATAAATATTGCTTTATACTGAAATGAAATGTCATTATCTTCCTCCAAGGTATCTGAAGCTTTTCACTTTCCTCCCTCTTCCGGAAATCAGTTGTATTATGAAAAAGCATGCTGAAGAGCGCGAGCTACGGGGAGCACAGAAGCGCCTTGCTGCTGAAGTAACTAAGTTAGTTCATGGCAAGGAAGGTCTGGAATCTGCTAAGAGGTAAAGAGAAATCAAATGGCTAATATACTATGTGTTGGACCAAACTTCTGTTGATACAAAAAGATATGAGACAGCAAGCTTCACAAATATCAAGTAAAGATAATTAAGTGAAAATGTTTTTGCCTAAATCATGAAAAGAAGGACTTTCACCTCAAATCTTGATCATAGTGTAAATGTTGATTATTTTTAACCTAGGTGCACAAAGGTGCTGTATTCAAATGATGTGGGAGCACTGGAGGGTATGTCTGACCAAGAGCTACAGGAACTCTTTCGTGAAGCACCGTACGTTGAGTTGCTTCTGGAGCCTGGGATGACAGTACTTGATTTATGTCGGAAAGCTAATGCTATTGCAGATGGGTCAATAGGGTAAGCATGCATCTACATTGCTAGAGCAAACTTTTGGTTTTTTCATGCTACATTTTTTTGATATGGTACACCTGTAGATTTCCTCATTCACAAATGAAAGCTACAGTGTAATTTTTTTAAAAAAAGGAAACCAATGTTCTGATATATGTGATCTAGGCCACCAAGTTCCAAATTTTTCAGGAGCAATGTTCTGAATTTTTAGATGAGGCATTAATAGTCCTTGATCCAAAATGTGTAAAAGAAAAAAAAGTGCTGCAGAGATCATGTCGATTGAAAACCAAAACTGCAACATGAAACATATGTCCAAAAAAATTTCCTAGTAGTGTTGATATCTTTTTTGTTTCTATTAGAAAAAGACACAGAAAATTACCTGCAAAAATGAATGCTTCTAAGAGGCCAAACTTTACTATATATAGAAGACTAACTATGTCATGCTGATACGAATGCATGATCTTATGTGGATGCAAAACCTGTAAAAAAAAGGTTCTGCCTGTGCACAGAGATACCAAAGGATCATGTTGCACTTCATGTTTGTGCAAGACAACAAGTATCTTGACTACTGGTTGTTGTGGGTTTTTTGGGCTCTTTGGCCGTGATCTGAAGGTTGTTCTTCCTAACATTTCGCCAGTCTCTGTGGCCGGCATCTTCAGGACAGCACTCTGTGCTATGATGTAGTTGGCTTTGGGCGTGCCTTTTTGAAAGCCTTCATGAATATATCTTGACTAAGTTTCATTTATTTTGGGCTAGACAGTTATCAGTTGTAATGTCTTCAGTTTCTGATTTCTAGAATTAAAATGGCATCTAAAGTAATAGTGCTTTTTGATTTCTTCTCCAGAAGTGGGGAGGTATCACAGACAGACACATTCTGTAGTGCTTATTCATTGTACATCAGCATAACTGCCACCTTGAGTAATAGGGGTAGCTACAGAAAGAACATACTTTTCTAAATCAGTTTGGTGGCTATTTGGTATAAAACACCGCTGTAGTATTTTCTATGCCTATGAAACTTTGGGCCCTAGTGAAAACTTATGAGAGCCATCCAGCTGTCTTTCAATCTGCAAGTCTTTGTCTAGCATTTAGCACAACCTTCTCCAATTTGGTGCTTTCCAGTTACACAGATTGCAAGTTTTGTCATCTATTCAGCATGCTGGGATTTGTAATTGAAGTCCATTTGGACAGTATCAGGTTGGGGAGGCTGCTCTAATTTGGTAATTGTCTCAGAATCATATTTCTTAACTCTCTGCTGATTATATCTGACAATTTCTTTTCAAGGTATGAAACCATAACAAATGGTGGAGTTTCTGTAAATCATGTTCAAGTTACAAATCCTGATGCCGTTCTTGTTCTTGGACAACATATTCTCAGTAATGGATTATCCCTCCTTCGGATTGGAAAGAGAAATTATTACGTTGTGAAATGGCTTCAGCTGTCACACACAGAGTGAAAAAGTTAACTTTTTTCAGGTATGTTATGAAACTGCACATTTTTGCAAGGACTTCAACAAATCATATTTAAGTTCATACATCATATAACTAATTTGTAGTTTAACTCACAAGAATAATGACATTCTTGTGGTGTAACTAGCCTTTTCTCACTGTGTGAGAGTTACTGCAGGATCATCTGGAGGCTGGAGTATTTGTCTTCAATCATGACACATAGAAAAACTGATACTGTTTAGATACTATCCAAAGATTGGATTGGTTGAAGAATTTGTTTTTTTCTGATATTGGTCATAGAATATATGTCTGCAATAAAAACAGCCAAATAAACCTCTACAATTACTCACAATTGTTTCTGAATTAATCTAAGAATGCACTGTGCTTGTTATCTTCGTTATCGTTGTTTATTTCATGGGGTTTTTAACTTCATGTTTATACTAAAAAATATTCAGCTGATGGTGAGAAGTGGGGGAATATTGTATGTACACCATGGATCAGGCCTGAAAGCCTAGTTTGTGGACAGAAGCAGAGTACTGATCTAACAGTCACTGGGACTGAAGCATGAGATTTACAGACTAATTTACTCTTGCACTAATGGAAATACAGTAAAAGTACACTATTTTTAGTGCTGTACAGAGAACTGCTTTTGTTTTGCACTTAGTGTAGTCCGTTTGAATTCATCCCTCTTCAGATTAAATGGTCAAGGGTTAATTATGAGAGGTAGACAAGATCTGCATACTGGCACAGTCAAGCTTTTGAACTGGAGTGCACAACTTGAAGCTCTCTGGATGCTTTTGGACTAGAACAGCTATCATTCCCCGCAATTGCCTATTCTGGCTATGGATGTGGAGAGGTGGTGTGTAGCAACCTTTGAAGGGCTACATGTTGCCCACTGGCTTTGCAAATCAGTTGGCTTGGTCTGGTCTCAGATGCCAGTGATAACACTACCATTAAGGAAAAGTTTTAAAGATGCTGGGGTGTTCTGCTGTGTTGGAATTATTGCTTTTGCAAAAGGCTTAGATGTTTTCACTAGGCCCATTACAGCTGGAAAGCACAGCAACAAGAACAAATAATCAGATTTGGAGTCCTCATAGAGTTTTGTAAGCTTTTTTCCTCTCTTTAAATTTCTTAATTCATTTCATCAGCACACTACCAGCAAGTGCTGTGTAAGATTGTCCTGTCATTTAAAATAAGAAGACAATGAAACATAGAATTAATGTATTTGCAGAATCTTATTCTGAAGAGTTCTGCTAGACATGTACAAGTATAATTTAAAGGTTAAAAGTTAAACACTTGAGTAAAATCTATGATGGCTATATTTATGCAAATAGTTGACTTTATAGCTTCTGAAACTCTCTTATATAAATGGAGTTGTGGCCTTGTATTTTATGCACATTTTTTATGGTTGCCTCAATAAGTGAAGTTTAAAACTAATACTTTAAAAGATGGTTTATTGATGTAAAATTGTGTGACCTTAAAACAATCAGCTTTATTTACAAAATTACAGAAGGTACTGTTGTCAGAAATTTCTTAATCTTCCATTTGTATAAGCTAAAAGTCAGCCTCCTCAACAGGTTTACAGTATTGGAAACTGCAGTAAATAGCAATTTAAAAAATAATGGCAAAGATAAATGCCTTTGGTAGTCGCGAAGCCTTAGATGCAAAAATCTAGTAATAACAGGAAGAAACAGTACTGTAAATTAAGCCACACGCTCGTGACCCCCAAAATGTGAAACATTTACACAGCATTAAACTTTTTAAAAACCTGCTTTCCTTCTCCTGCAGAGGTGCCATGTAAAGTTTATTCTTAGCTGCTGGGAGTATCCACACGCTGTCTGCAATTATATAAATTTGAATCCAGCCCCTTGGAAGTTCCACAGCAATTTGAGGAACCTGTCCGAGCCTGAGATTTTAATTTTCTAATGTGTGCTACTCTGAGACATCACACTAAACTTGGCCCTTGAAGTTTCTTATGTGCTTCATAATCCCTGTTCAGCACATATCATTTCCAAACTGGAGAAAGACAGTGCCACTTGTTGACTCCATATCCTCCACTCAGTTTTAAGCTTAAACATTTATGCATGATTACTGGCACTGGAATAAAGATAGCACACCTCTCCTAAAATGATTACCGTAATTTGGATAAATGGTGGAAAACATTTGAATTCCAGGAAGTGCATATACACAGATCCTTTGTAAAAATTGATAAATAGCAGAATATTTACAGAGGTGGGCAAATTATACTGAGGGAGATTGAGTAAATTAATTTGAGCTCTTTATATACTCTGAATATTTAATCCACTTTTCATCTTTTTCTCTTCAGAAGAGTTTATAAATTTATTCTGTGTTTTACTCAGCTGCAACAGAGTTTTGTGAAGCAAACCAAATTTCTGAAGTGGAAATTACTTCCAACACACATAAAAGTCTTCAGCAAAATGCTGGATTTGTACTTGTAGGACTTCTAAACATAAAAATTAGCAGACTTCAAAAGGTTCCTCTTTGGTAGAGTGATTAAAGCATAATCAAATATTAGCACCGTGGTTTGCATGTACCTCATGAACAGTTAACAGATAGCAGTTGGGCTCTCCAGCCAAAAGTGTATTTCCTAGTACAGTATAACAAACTACGATATAGTAGATGCAGGTGATGAAGACATCTTTCAGCCATTTATATTAAGGGGAAGGAAGGAAGATAAAATTAAAAATCATGAGGGTTGTACATAAGGTGATGGATATTTGTCACAAAGATTTTGTTTGTTTGGTAGTTATCTTGCCCCACAGATTTGCCAAAGCCTCAGAAGTGATCTTTAAACATAGCTTTATTTTTCTGTATGGGACGTTGGCTCTAGCTATGAGGTTTTCGTAGGTGAGACTATAGAAAAATGTTAAAGCAATAAAATAAATTCCACTGTAACATAATAAGGAAAATATGTTTCAAACCAGTATGAAATATTCTCAGGAAATACCAAATCTCTGTCATCATGTGTTTCAGAATATCCAATTGCTTTTTAAAGTCTGCTGCATAAGGACTGAGTGGATAGAATCCTATACATCATGTTTGAACTCCACAAGTACAAAGGCTGAGGTGGACATTATGTGTTCTAGTAAATCAAACTGAGCTAAATACATTTATTTCAGACCTGACAGTACAACTTTTTCATGCATGGTGTTATCTGTGAAGAAACCTAGTGTGCTTTCAACAGAATCCTCAAGAAACCAGTGTGTTATTGGTCTTGAGTTTGTCAAGCAGTTAGGTTCACGCTGACCTAGGGCAAAGAAGAGAAAAGAAATCTTGACATAGAAGGATTGTGGGACCATCCACATTAACCCAACAGCCAGCTTCTTCTACTTTAGTAGTTCTTAAACATTCTTTACTACAAGAGTGGGCAAAACGTATGAGCCTTCTAAATATTGTTAGACTGCAACTTCCATCAGCCCTAGCTAGCTCCATGGATGAGGACTTTCCATCCAACATCTGAAGGGCTACAAGTTGACCATTGTTGCTTTACTGTTTCTACAGTTACTTTAGTGAAATACAATTGGTTGTTGTATCTGTTAATGCTGATAAATTTTAGGCCTGGAACTCTTCAGTGGCTGGTCCCGGGGTCTTGGTCCTGGCTAGGAGAGAGAGTTACACATATTTGCCAACTTTGATTGTTCTTTGGCTGACACTGTCTCTTAATGAGTCCCATCGTTTAAAATACATCAGATTTATCTAGCTAAAGGGAAAAAATGCCACTGTAGTTTGGAAGCTATTGAAGTAATTCTTTTAAAGTTCTAAAACATGAGGCCACACATTACACAAGTTATGAAGGCAGTAATTCTATTGTGCCATTTTATCCACATGAGACTTCAGTGCATGCATTTTAATTAATAATAAAGAAAACGTGTTCTTTCTTCATTGCTGATAAATTAATATTGCAAAAGCAGCTGAAAAAGCTACATCACAATACTACACTGGTCATCCTATCCACAGGCAACTCATTTAGCAAGCCAGGCACTGGAACTTTTAACATGGTTCTTTCCCACTTTCACTTCAATCCAGTTCCTCACAGGAGTTCTTCTTTGTACCAGGAAACTGGTGGGGAAAATATTGATTAAATATGACTTGTTTTGCAAAGTACAGCATACCTCTGTGTAAAAAGCCAAACCAAAAGTCTTTACATGAGCAGATGTATACATACTGCAGTACACTTAAAGAGTTCATGAGCATATAACGCCTAGCAGTTTTCAAGTCATCTGTTTCTTCATCCAGCAAAAAAAAGCCATCACCAAAGGTGTGTCTCTCGAATCTCAGCAATAATCTGACTGGCTCGTTGCAAGGCCTGTGGAAGGGACAGAGAAATAATGTAGCTTTATTGTTCTGCTTGTTAAGTCAAGCCATAGGCAGAGACCAAATGCCTGTGAGTCCTCATATGACAGTCCTTCCAATTAACACCTGCATATAGGGTTCCCCCACCCACCCCAACAGTTGCACAGCACTATTTTAAATTATCTTAAATGACAGCAGTGGTGTCGAGGCACTTGAGCTCAACTTTGTATTCAGTCATAACTAGTAACAGACATTTTTATCACAATACATAACATAGTGTGGGATGTCCTGTTAAGATGGGGGTATTTGTATACGAATACAAATACTTCTGCACGGCTGGATTTAACAAGAGTCCTCTTGGTTGTCCAGCAGCAGCCTTGGTCAGCCTTCTAATTGCTCCCAGAGTGCAGCTCTCTTTCCACTCATCTAGCCACTTGGCAGCCTTGCAGGGAGACTCGTCCTCCCTCCCCCTGCCTGGAGTGGCCAGCTGAGCAGGGCTGCCAGATGCATGAGTGGACAGTCCTTAAGTCCAGCTATGCAGGGATATTCGTCTACAAATACCCCATCTCTAGTCCTTTGTCCCAGAAAAAAAAAGCACAGTTTGTTACACAAAACCTATTTTCTATGTGTGAAAAAGGACTGGCACAAACCCTTATAAAATAAAATAAATAAATTAGGCCTCTGTGACCCAGTTACAGTGGACCCTTGACTTACAGATGGCTTGACTTACAGACTTTTTGAGTTACAGACTTCTCTGGCCTCAAAATTTAGATTTGACTTGCAGACTGAGATTTGACTTACAGACCAGAAAAAATCCAAAATGGAACAAAAACAGCCTGTTACGGGATTAATCGGTTTTCAATGCACTGTGGGTCCCCGGGGCCGCCTGTGGGGTTGGGGGCCATATTCATATCCCTGAGATACAAATACAAAGTGCTCAGAGACATGCAGGGAGACACGTCCTCCCTCCCCCTGCCTAGAGTGGCCAGCTGAGCGGGGCTGCCAGATGCATGAGTGGACAGTCGTTAAGTCCAGCTATGCAGGGATATTCATCTACAAATACCCCCATCTCTAATCCTTTGTCCCAGAAAACAAAAGCACAGTTTGTTACACAAAACCTATTTTCTATGTGTGAAAAAGGACTGGCACAACCCCTTATAAAATAAAGTAAATAAATTAGGCCTCTGTGACCCAGTTATTGGCTATGTCTTAAATTTTGGTTATACTAAATAGTCTCTATCTCAGGAACACCGAGTGTTACAGTCTGAAAATAGATGTTTGAAAAAACATGTGAGGCAGGAGGTGAGTCAGAACCATCACTCACTGGAGTGCCGTCCATCCTCTGTTAAGGGGCAGAGTGAAGCGCAGATGACCAAGACCTTAGTGAGCCTACAGAGAAGGCTGAGGAGTCGTTGGTCCAATATATGAGGGGGACAGGAATACAGGAAGAGCAGTCAGAAAAGGCGGGAAAGACTGGTAGAAAAGGGGAGGAGATAGAAGTAGGCGAAGGAGAGGTAATAAGGAGAGAGGAGACATTACCACGAGATCCGTGGACCAAAAGATGGAAAAGGCTGACAGTACCAAGAAAGGAAGCTGATTATAGAAAGAGAGCCACTGTTCCTGACCAACCTTCATACTGGGGTGAAGCAGAAGCGAGAGAGTGGCGCAGGAGGAGTAGAGAGAGAAAGAGGAAGAAAGACGAGGCGAAGGAGAGGTAATAAGGAGAGAGGAGACATTACCACGAGATCCGTGGACCAAAAGATGGAAAAGGCTGACAGTACCAAGAAAGGAAGCTGATTATAGAAAGAGAGCCACTGTTCCTGACCAACCTTCATACTGGGGTGAAGCAGAAGCGAGAGAGTGGCGCAGGAGGAGTAGAGAGAGAAAGAGGAAGAAAGACGGGAGAGAGTGGCGCAGGAGGAGTAGAGAGAGAAAGTAGAGGAAGAAAGACATAGGAGAACTGAATGGCGAGTTCTGGAGATGAAGAGGATGGAGGAGTTGAAAGGGTCTGGGAGACGTTGGATCGGCAAGGGGGTCCCAAGAGGATCTACTCGGATGGAGGAGTTGAAAGGGTCTGGGAGACATTGGATCGGCAAGGGAGTCCCAAGAGGGAGGACCTACTTGGAGACGTGGCTGTGCCCTTGTTGTCAGTACCACTGACCACCATGTTAAGAGAATGGACCCTGCCAGACCAGCCTGGACATTGGAAATCCAGTTACGGAAACCCTTTTGTTACGGACGATTGGAAGCCCCTGTCTACCCGCATTGGTGAAAGGAGACAAAGACTCTTGAGCTTAGACACTGGTTTATTTGTCAGCGTGGTGGCGCTGCGGGCTAAACAGCAGAAGCCTGTGCTGCAGGGTCAGAAGACCAGCAGTCATAAGATCGAATCCACGCGACGGAGTGAGTGCCCGTCGCTTGTCCCAGCTCCCGCCAACCTAGCGGTTCGAAAGTATGCAAATGCAAGTAGATAAATAGGGACCACCTCGGTGGGAAGGTAACAGCGTTCCGTGTCTAAGTCGCACTGGCCATGTGACCACGGAAGATTGTCTTCGGACAAAACACTGGCTCTATGGCTTGGAAACGGGGATGAGCACCGCCCCCTAGAGTCAAACACGACCGGACAAAAATTGTCAAGGGAAACCTTTACCTTTTACTTTATTTGTCAACAACGAAATAAATGTTCCATGGTTGAGAAAGCACTCCACGACTGATGTAATTACTGAGAAATGGAACATTCCAATGGTGCTCACTAATGAACCCTCACAATATATCACAAAATGCAAACATCTTTCATTTTTTCCTTACATTTTACAAATAATTTATATTCAAATTCTGTTAACTCTCAACTAGGGCGGTCTCATTCATCCAGCAAGTATATTCTGACTAGAACTAAAAACTGGATTTAGCTCTATAGTTTTTTTCTAAAATTAGAAAAAAGGATCTGCAGTACCTGTAACATGTCAGCTGCCTCCTTCCTGCGCTGAGCCATGTCCTCTGATTCAGTCAGGAGGTCATCCAGCAATAAGGATTTGTACAACTGTCCCACTAGCTCACTTTGAAGTGTATCCTTCACGTGGTTCACCAGAAAATGCATCACTGCTTTTGGCACACTGCAAGCAAGCACCAATATTTCAAGTACATTGTGTAAGACTCAAAAATATATAAAACAGTGAATTACCACTAGTTTCGGCTGGTATTCCTTATATACAGTTGCATGACAAGGAATACTGGCATCTACCACACAACTAGCAGCAATTCACTGTTTGACTTAGGCTGGCATATGTATGTAATAGGATGCTGGCCAGCTGCTGAAGAACTGAAGGGAGGCAAAGGTTTTAGTTTCTTTTTAAAAATGGTAACATATATTTCTACAGCCTAATAAAGTGGTGCCTCGCTTAACGATTGCCCCACATTACGACAAAATCGCTGTACAACAACCTTTTTCTGATCGCAATCGCAAAACGATGGTCTAAATGGTTTTTTTTCTGCTTTGCGAAGATCGGTTCTCTGCTTCGGGAACCGATTCCTCACATTATGACGATCAAAACAGCTGATCGTCGGGTTTTCAAAATGGCCACCGGGTGCTTAAAATGGCTCCCTGCTGTGTTTAGGGACGGATTCCTCGCTATATAGGCAGCGAAAATGGCCGTCGTATGGAGGATCTTCGCTGGACTGTGAACTTTTACCCCATTGAACGGGTTTCAATGCGTTTCAATGGGGTTTTTAATTTCGTTTTACGATGTTTTCGCTTAAAGACGATTTTTCTGGAACACTGTTAAGTGAGGCACCAATGTAGCTGTCACAGCAGTGTTTGTATCTGGCAAAGATTTCACAACACCTTCGTTGTATCTGGCAAAGATTTCACAACACCTTTCCTTCAACTTTATCTAACTGCACAATGCTGATCAACCATATTTAGACTTTAATTTAATTTGGTAATGAATAGATAGCACCTTACAACAGTAATGGATAAAAATGTAAAGCTTCTGAGGCTCTAACATAACTAACCTGTCTTGAATATTCTTCCTTACAATTAGAAAGTAAGATTTGATTAGGCGTTCAATCACCTCACAGTCTCGCTGTTCCCTGGCAGAAAGCTTGCGTGCAACAGGAACAGGCTAAGGGTGAGAAAAGGTAAGAATAAAAATATTAGGAGTAACATTTTCTCAAATTAGATTTCAGATAAACTAAATTAAAGAAAGGTGCAGATGTTTCGTATTTCACACACAGTACAACCAGATCATGAACTAATCAATACTGGCAAATGGCATTTAATTTTATTTACCATTTGATGTACTATGAGACTTTCCACTTTAAGGCAGGGATTGGAAATGGTTGACTGGGCTGCCACAGGGATCACAAAACCCGTTACAGCAGCTTCACTGACTACTGATCCATTTCCGAGCTGAATTCAGAGTGCCAGTTCTAACCTATAAAGCCCCCAAATAGCTTGGGCCCAAGCTATCTAAAGGACCACATCTCCTTTTATGAGCCTGCTTGAATGTTAAGATCATCAGGAGAGGCTTTACTCTTGCTCCCACCATTCTCACAGGTGCATTTTGTCAGGATATTGTAATTTTTATAGGCCTGAACCTGGATAAATGTGTTATTAATGAGCTGCCATTGTGAACAGATGTGTTTATGCTGAGTCACTCTGACTGCTGAGATGATGATGCAATGTCTGAAAATGAGAAGACACCCAGGTGCAGAAGATGAAGTAATGTGTCTTCTGATTGGACTAAAGAAGCCTTGTATATAAGTGAACAGTGTCTTCATAGATTTCTCTTCTCTCTCCACCATTTGCTGCAATCCTCTATGCCGGTTTGTTTAATGATTTCCTGCCATGCTGATGTGATGCCAGCTTGTATATATTTGTAAATATTGTAAATACAACCGTCTTGCTAAAGAAGAAGAACTTGTAAGTGTCTTCAATTAACTCTGCGCATTTTCCTGTCGCCAAATCCTGACACATTTGGTTGGTACCTGGCAGAGGGCTTTCTTTGCTGCTGCTCTCAGACTTTGGAACTCCATCCCATAGGCCCGGTTGGCCCATCTTGGCTGTCTCTTTCTGCAAACAGGCAAAGACCAGGCTACTTTTTCCCTTAATGACTGCCTGCCTGGGTGGGTTTTATAAATGGACGATTGTGCCTTACCACTTTGAATATGCTATTGGTGTTGCCTTTGTTTACTACCATTTCGAAATTTTATTTGCCTTGTCCTTTTAAGTATCTGGATACTTACGGTTTTAGCTTTTAATATTGTCTTTTAATGATGGAAGCTGCCTTGGGTCCTTGTTAAGGAGAAAGGCAGGGTAAAGAATATTTTATAATAAAATAAACCTGTGTTTTAAGTATTTCAAAATTTTGTACTACATCATTTTGGAGGCTCTAACAGGCAGGAATGCAGTTAACAAATATTCTGCATTAATAATAATGTGTCAATTTAATTCTACCCACTATCAGTTATCTCTTTGTGCATGAAATCATATTGCCAATTTCCAGAAGATAATTTAGCTGGAAAACATGCCTAGTCTCACCAAAAAACACATGCTCATGGCTGCTATTTAGGTAGCAGCTATGTTTACAGAAACAATAAAGTAACTCAACAGGAAAAAAAACCCAATGGTCATTGTTGCTCTTTTTCTAGTACTCAATTTCAAATCTGTTCAGGCAATACAAGTTTTGCCCTTGTAGAAACTCACCACATCCAGCAAATTTACAGCATGACCTTTTTGAGGGCTTGCAGGTAGTACTGTTACTGGTTTTGATTTTTCTTCCGCTAATATTTCCTCTGCTCGGGAGGTTTTCAGCATTCCTCTCCAGTTGCCTGTTCCTGATTCTGGCGCTCCATCTCCTAGAGCAGGGGACACCTAATAGCAGGCAAGAACAGAACTTCCCAATTTAAATCAGTTACTTGCAAATCAAAATGACTTGCATGGTTCCTCCTTGTTGCCCATTTGTTCTAAATGCTTTACTTCTTTACTGGTTATTTAGGGAGCAGGAGCCCATAATAAACACAAGACCAGTTAATCTGATTGTTCACATGAATGAAAATAATAAGCATGCAGCCAAATGGCTCATTTGTCAAGCCAAGATCTGATTGTCTAAAAGTGACCATTTCTTCATGATATAGCACTTCATTTCAATGGTATTTCATCACACTGTGAACTGAACTGAATTGACCCAGTAAATCACAAGACAAGGCTTCAAATTTTATTATAAGAAGTTCCACTTCTAAGACACTAGAACATCTCTGTCCACTTGTGTTTCTAGAATCTTCACAACTATATTAATAGATTATTATTTCAAAAATTAGCTTTTAAAAACCACATTCCATGAAACAAAAGTACTGGTAAAATGCTGAAATTGAAACACCTGTTCAAAATCTGAAGGTTTATTCTAGGTTTGTGTTAATGTGCACATCTAGAATCAAGAAGGAATGGTCCGCATTCTCCAAGCAAAACATGCTGCATATTGCAGTCTTCAAGGGTGCTCTGATCTGGACATTTTTGTGTTTTTTAAACAGAGGTTGGTGGCTGTCTGTCAGGGATACTTGAGATGTTGATTTCATGCACTGGCAGGGAGTAGGACTATACCTCTTTGGGGCGAGTCCCTTCCAGATCTATGATTCTATAGCTGAACTGTTGCTTAGCATAACAAGTTGCAAATAGAGTAGGTTGCAACTAAATCTACTTTGCTCTTCTGAAATAGAGTAGATAAATTGCAACTGATTTAATGGGCTACTCAATGCTAAGCAACAGGATTTCAGCCACTGAGTTAATAGACAGCCTCTGTTATAGGAATATAACATCTTGACTTTTAAAGAACTAAACATTGTTGAGATACAGTGTCTTCTCAAAGACTCAACTGTCATAAATGTCCTGCTGAACTTTTAATCTGTTTCTAAATGTATATGAATTTCACAATGTTTTCTTGTTTTAATCCGCATATCACTTTGAAGGACTTAGATGTTTAAATAATTAAATAAATACAGCCTATGTTAAGTTTTTTTCAGAATATGGGATATATTTTGCAGAAAAACCCTGCCTTTCTTATCAAACAAAATTTTTATAAATCATTCTTTTCCATATTTTGAAATTTTCACTTCTGTCAAGGAGCCACTTGTTAAGAGTGCATAAGAATTTAGCTCAAAGATTAGCCTACCTGCTAAGTAACACACACAATGCAGCATTGTAAATTTGTGTACTTTTATTGTGATACGTAACAGAATAAGCTTCAAGCACTTTTTAAAATTACGTTCTAAATTTTTTTCATGGGGGATTAGCCACTTACATTTCTGTAAGGTGGTAAAAAGCTAGACTCTGGGAATCTCAAGAATCTAATGAATAGAGATTTATAGCCCACCGACTGTAGCCAGGTTTTGTACCTTTTGTCAAAAAACCCTAACACATGAGCTTCACAAACACAAATAAATACATGTTTGTGTGGAGAATGAAAGAGTAGTAAGAGATTTTGTGAGAGGTGAGGAGTAGAAACCTATTAACAGCAGGAAAGCATTACTGTCCTGCAGGTGGAGTGCTCTGCAATTTCTCCATCAATGATTGACTTGCAGTTACACAAGCCAAAGACTTATCCCCCATTGAAAACAACAGGGCCTGCACATTCACAGAAGGGAAACAGCTGCATATGCAGTGCGTCATGCACATGTGGATTCTGTCCAAAGATAATTTAGCTTATTGAAAGCAAATAGACAACACAAGTGTGTTATTAAAGGTTACCTCGCTATTCCCACGCCTGCTAAAGTAGCAGTTTACAAATATCCTTTGATGGAATCTTTACACATTGCTTTTCCTGCTCGGGGGAATCCCTAAACATCTGCAGAAGACTGGGGATTATGTCCTAAGGCACACAACCAACTCATGCAGAGTACTGTGCACAAATGCATTGTGGTCCTATACCTAGAACATCCTCTCCTATAGATACACAAAGCAGGGAAAATTTAGAAGTAAAAAGCGAGCTATCCTCTAGGAGAGTCTCTTCACTATTATTGAACTACTTTGATAAGTGTGTAAGCATCCCAAAGCTTCCCAGAACCGATTCAAAATTTCCTTGGAGCAACTAAAGAAATCAAACACCTCAACAACATGGCAACACAGATCATGTTCAAACAAGTCATGGACAAGTACCGGTGGCTTACGAGAATCTTCAGCCACTGCCAAAATGCACCACATAATGACTGAGCATGCAGTGCTTAGAGGAAGAAACAGAGACAGACCTTGCCATCAACCTCAGCAGAACCAGCAGTAGAGGTCTCCTGGGAAGACGGTGCCAAAGCACCAGGAGGCTTAGTGGACTAAAAAAGGCAAGAAGGGCAAAAATGACATCAGCATTGCAATGGCTCCATTGCAAAAGGAAGTTTGCAGTTGAACTTCTGAGCACAGCTCCCAAACAGGAAGGTTTGGGGACCCATTGCAAAAGGAAGTTTGCAGTTGAACTGAGCAGAGCTTCCAAACAGGAAGGTTTGGGGATAATTACTGAAATTACATGACAGCTTTGATTTTAAAGAGTATTTCTCAACTCGAGCTTTGATTTTAAAGAGTATTTCTCAACTCAACTCGCAATTTTATTTAGAACTTAAGGCATGCACTTACTTTCTCTCGTGATCCAGCAGAAGGTGTCTCTCTAGCTAACCTGTTCCGCCTTTGCTGCTCCTTTAAAGAAAGATGTGCATTAGGAATCAATTCTGGGTGCATTCGTGTCTCAGTGCCTTAGAGACAGTGATCAACATTGCAGCAGTTGATGCTAGTGATATAATGACAGTTATCCATCTAACCTCATGTAATGAATAACATTACTGTTTGGGATTTTAAAAAACAAAACTCAGGGGACTATTTTGAACACATTTTCCCCAAAATTTTAAGACCTTCAAAAAAAAATTCCCTCACCAAAAGGAAGTAATACACAAAACTCTGGTGTTTACGTATGTTTTAAACACAGGCATATTCCCTCACCAAAAGGAAGTAATACACAATGACTAAAACTCTGGTGTTTATGTATGTGTTTTAAACACAGGCAGAAGACAAATGAGATACCACTCATTCACTTCCAGATGGCAATTAAAGACTCCCCGCTAGGATTCATGGGTATATGTGCCCTGGAGAATCACAGCAGTTGATCTAATTTCTGGCTGGAAGTGAGTGGATATTATGCCATTTGTTTTCTGCCTGCATATCTGCACAGCAGAATTTCAATCAATGGAAAATAACAAATAATGGCACAATGATTTGGACAGAAATTATAATGAAGAATGATAACAAGTTACTTTGAAGGAATGCAACAAGATAATGGTACCAGAAATTCTGGTCCAATAGCACTTGCTTTACATTTACAGCCATCTAGTTCTATTTTAACCCAGCCTCTAGACAATAATGTTCTTGGAGTATAAAATATTGTTAAGCATTTTTACCCCACTCCTCTAATAAAAAGGCCTCAACAGCAGCATGCTGGGATCAGAAATCAGGCAGTCCTTACTCACAGATAGGTGATTTGAAAAAAGTGATGAGGAATGGAAAAGGGATTGGGAAAGAAAAAGCAAAGTTGAGCACTGTATTTGTCACTAAACTTCAGCAGATCATGGAGCTGGACCTAAGCACAGCAGAGAAACTGAATCTCCTCCCTTACCTCAATGTTGTTGTTCATTAGTCCACAGGCATCTGCAAAATCTGGATGTTTGGTATTAATGTAGGCTAACTCAATGGCTACCAAATTGTGAACCTAGGAAAAAAAAAGTAAAGGGGTAAAGTAATTCAGAGTTCAGACGTGTGTCCATTCTGTTCAGTGCACAGCAGAATCTCTTAGAACTTCTTGTTTTTCACAGGGATCTGTAACAATGGAATTAAGCAATACATGACAACGACACCCCCCCCGACAGACTCCAAGATAAACAATAACTCTGGGCAACTCCTCTGACAAACTATTAATGGTTGTTGTAGGTTTTTTGGGCTGTTTGGCCATGTTCTGAAGGTATTTCTTCCTAACGTTTCACCAGTCTGTGTGGCCGGCATCTTCAGAGGACAGGAGTCATAACTCTGTCTGTGCTCTGATGCAGTCTGTGGGATACATGAGCATTTACAGCTGTGGGACCAGCTTTTTGTCCTTTTCAGGAGATTGGGTGATTATGGTGATCAGTGTTGTGCGTGTATTGTTGTGACAAGGGAGAGAGATAATCTGTCACTGTTATTGATGTTTTGTCCTTTTCAGGACTTTTGTGTGCAGTGATCACCAGTCCTTGTGGCTGGGTAGAGTTCGTTGATGTTTTGCACTGTGTTTTTCAGTGCTGGGAGCCAGGCTTTGTTGAGTTTTAGACTTCCTTCTTTTTGGTTGAAGCTCTGCTGGTGTTTGTGGATTTCAATGGCTTCCCTATGCAGTCTAACATAATGATTGCTGGTCTTGTCCAGTACGTCTGTGTTTTGAAATAAAATTTCATGTCCAGCTTGTTTCAGGGCATATTCAGCTACTGCCAATTTTTCTGGTTGTTTTAGTCTGCAGTGTCTCTCATGTTCTTTGATTCTAGTGTGGATCATGCGTTTTGTGGTTTATACTGTATTTCAAAACACAAAAGTACTGCATAACACCCATCAATCACAGTGACAGATTATCTCTCCCCCTTGTCACAACAATATTACACACAACAAAAAAAAACACACTGATCACCATAATCACCCAATCTCCTGAAAAGGACAAAAAGCTGATCCCACAGCTATAAATACTCAACTATCCCACAAACTGCACCAGAGCACAGACAAAGTTCTGACTCCTGTCCTCTGAAGATGCCAGCCACAGAGACTAGCGAAACATTAGGAAGAAAAACCTTCAGAACATGGCCAAACAGCCTAAAAAACCTACAACCACAATCGGATCCTGGCTGTGAAAGCCTTCGAGAATACAAGTATTAATGTTCTCTTTCCTGATTTTAGAGCTTGTTGACCAAGCAGAGCCAAGGAAGGTGGGGCAAGAGAAACTGGAAGACTGCAGCTGCAGGAAAAGAATAGTGCTCCTAACTGGAAGCATATTTTGGCAGTGAGAAAATTACTGCTCCCTTAAGAAAGGGGTTCTCACATTACGTGTGTGTGTAAGCTGGGTTAGACATCATGTGTATAAAATAACTGTCAAAGATTTCAGACTTACACATTTTTTGCAGGACTGCAGCTAGGAGATACTGGAGGAAAGTTTTCACAAACTGCCAAAACAAACACCCTGTGAAGTAGATGAGGTTTGAATCCAATTACTCCTGCCCCAAATTTATCAATCTATCTACATTATGCTAGGCCATTATTTCCACAACACCATGCACGATCTGCTCAGTGCATTCCAGTGTGGGCCTAATTATTTGAAGAGCCAGATTTTGGGCTTAAAATTTCCTGTTGGAGTTTCATGATTGGCCCCTGGAGGAGCAAAGGGTGCTTACTAGGGAATGTACTCTGCTGACAGATACCAACCAGACCATGCAATTTCCACAAGCACACAACTGTACAGAACAGCCTTTGCAACAATTACCATTTCATTTGTCACTGGTAGCCTTCGACGCAAAAGACTGGTCACAACTTCAACAATGGCATCATGGAGCTTAGGAAACCTCAGCAATTCCTGAACACAAGCAAAGAAGGAACAGTTTGTTTTCTAAAGGGACAAATCTCTTAAAGTATCATCCAATTAACTATCAAACTGAAAGAATCACAATACATCACAGGCAGAATATTCACACTATGCAAAAACAACAACAGCAATGAAGATAATAAGGAATCGTTTCTTGGCATTTCTGGTTTCCAAGGACTAATCAGAAGAATTTGCGATGACAGAACCAAAGAAAGTGGCAAAACAGAACTATCTAATCCATCAGATCAATACTCTGTCAACGTTCAATCTGCTGCTGTCCGTGGCAGCCAAATTAAGATACTTGCAGGAGGCACTTAAAAGCAATAGAGTACTAAGACATGTATATTCTACATGTCATACTGGTTTTCACAACTCCCAAGAGATCAAAATACATTATACAACATCCACATAATCAACACTGATTTCAGCAACTATTCTGGCTCCATTATACAACATCCACATAATCAACACTGATTTCAGCAACTATTCTGGCTCCTTTGATGCTCCCAGCATCAAAGGAAGAACTTAACAGGTCAACAATAAGGTGCCCATTTGAGAAAGACTTGCTCACTACACAAATGTTCGCTTCCTATTTATTTATAATATTTGCACACTGCTATGCCTCCAAGAAGTGGAGACTGCATTGGCACGTTCTTTGCAACCCAGATAATGCAAGTATCTCATCCAGCATCAGAAGCATGGACCATTCTGAAAAACTAATTTGCTTACTCTTAAGGCAAAGAATACCAACAGAAAAACCTCAATGGGTAGAAATGCATGGGAAGAGCTGCCCATTCTTTTGTATTTCAACACTGTATCCACAATCTGCAAAGCCCACACCAATCTGAATAAATCAGAACACACAAACCTCTGCATCTGTGGATAATTATGAATACAAGCTAAGCAATTTGCATGCACACCTGTAATACCAGAACACATTTGTGCGTATATATACACTATTCTTCACGTGTGTCCACATTAGTGTTCAAGTATTTTGTCAAAGCTTTCCATTCAATCCTCTAAACAAAAAGAGGACCATTATGCCTATGAATCTCACGTATGTGGAGATGCATTAACAGGGCAAATTCTCCTAGTTTCTGGAGTATTTACATGCTGTGACATATGTAAAAAATGCAGATGGTCCCTACTTTTACCTGTGTGCTATAATTGCTACAGTGCTGAATAATCCGCTGCATTTCTTCATGAACAAGCTCCACACATCGCAAACTGGGTTCTTCCAAACGCTTGATCTGCCTCTTCACTAGCAGCTCAAATGAAACTTCAGGCACAAACAAGGCGGGCCGAGGACCCTAGTAGAGCAACAAGACAGTGGAATAGTTTTTCCTTTATTCTGAGATTTAAGAGAACCCATCACATTCACCCAACCCTTGTGCCACTCCCAAAGCAGCACTAATGACTACATTCCACACCCATCAAACATCATGGTATATT